GCCATTGTGTTTGGTTCCTGGGTAGACGTCATCAGGTACCGCCGCCCCAGACTCCCTAAAACGCGGTCGTGAAACCTTCAAGCGCGACTTTGAAAGGACATAGAAAATCGAGGATTCAACCAAATTCAAAAATTTCTTCGCCCAAATGCTTCGAATAAAGTTTTGGGGTTAGGTGCACTTTAAGTGTTTTGTTACACCTCCCAACTCAAAAATAGAAAAAAAAAATGGGAAAAAATGATTTGTATGAGCAGCAGTCAAGCTGAGCTGTCCAACCGAAACAACACGATAACTGTCTTTTTCTTCGCAGCTAACAAAAATAAAGACAATACTTAAGTTGCTTTGCCTTCTTCTAATGCTTAACTTGAGGATTCTGGGTTTGATTTGACGAGGAACAGCATATTCTGTTGTAAATGACACAACTATTTTCCTGCCTGGCACGAGTGGTGACATCGATCGAAGAGTGAGTTGCTGAACGCGAGCGACCCATTTTTGGTGCCAAATTAAAAGTCTGAAGACATAGAATGTTCAGATTTTCCCCTTTGTTAATCCGATATGTTTTCACCAAATTATAAATCCCTTTTCTTGAATAATAAATGCCTTCTCTAGTGAGAAACGTTGCCCAACTTCAATGACTTTTAGACATCAGGCTGACTGGCACACAAATTTGCCACCATTTCAAGGTGCCCAACCTGATCACATGCGAGTCGAAAGTTCAAGTTGTTGTTTCCCTAGGGAGTTAACGAGTTTTGTTCACCCTAGGGAGTTAATGAGTTTTGACCCATGGCACGTTACATGTTCTCCTCCAATCGGAAAACATATTTGAGTTGGGAGGTATAGCAGTTACATGTAATGTTTGACACACTATGTATGTAACCTTTGAATAAATTTGTCAATTTGTTTGTGGGTATTTACATCCTCTGATTTTCGTCTTTACCATGGTTACATGTACTGTAGCTATTGTTACCTACTAATGGTTCCTGTTATAGATTATTTAATAACTGTTCTATTCAATCAAGTATTTTTGTTTGGTTGTTTTTATAATAGCTGACGAGATCTCTAAAGCAGGTGATAAGTATATTGATGTCCAACAGAAATTAAGAAAGTAATGTGATAGTAATATTAGTCATTATTGTTGTTGTCTTCAATCATAGATACGGGAGGAGCATCCACTCCTTGTAACAAAACAAACAGCTATTGCACGAAAACTTGGTTTCCCTGAAGTCATCATGCCAGGTACATTTTTTAATCACACTCTGTTGTTATGGTCATGGGGCCACACCTCTATATAATCAATATGGTGTCCATTTTAGCAGTTTTATCTTTTAACATCTTAACTTTGGATGGAGTGCAAAGTGATTACAGAGAGGTTGATCTCTTTGCTTCAGATGTAAGCTTCAAATTAACATCGATGAAGGCAATACATATTATGCAAAACAGCATATTTCATGTGAAATACACATGATTTGGAAACAGTGAAAAGAAGTTGAGTTAGCCAGAGTAAAGATAAGGCAATTAATTGTTGAAATTGAAATTGACAGTGAGTCCAACTAACTAAACAATGAACACCATCAGAACAAGAAATGAATGTATTAAATCAGCAAGTTTGTTAATCCTTTCCTTTAATTGTTTAGGTGATCTTCGTAATGACCTGTATCTTACCTTTCACTCTGGGGAATTTGAAAAAGGTACAAGTCATTAATAATAGTTTAAAAGTCCTTTGTTAAAGAGTCACAGATTTCAAATAGCAGAAGGTGTTATTAAGTTATACTTGTGCAGTTCATACATCCATAGATAATTTTAGGTTAAGGTTAATTAACAATAATTCCATGAAAGCGTGTTGGATATGAGATGGTAGATAGCCAACAAGGCACATACATGTAGCACTGAGGTGGCTCTAATCATCTCAGAGTGGAATAATAAATAGAGGATATTACACGGTGGCGAGAAGATATGAATTTTACGTTCGAGTGCCACAAGAACATAAAATTCATATCTTCGAGCCAACGTGTAATGTTCTTTTTATTATATGGGGAAACCAATTCAACAAAAGCAAAAGGCGGGAATCGTGCTGTCATTGAACGATACGACACTCACAAAGGTGACATACGGAAAATACGTCACTCGGGTCCCAGATGAAGTGGCGTATGGAATCTACCAGTGGTTTAGTTCCCAGTAAAACACTCTTCTCCATATAATAATATTGTTTTATTTAAAACCCCCCAAAATAAAGAAATCGTAACTAAAATTAAAAAAAAAAAAACGCCCCCCCCCCTCCCTCCAAAATAATTGAAAAAATTTCATGTATACTTACCATGTTTGTAGAGCATGGTACAATGGCTCATATACCACGATTATTGATGGCTAAGCTAGTGAAATCTCTTGAATTGCATTATCCAGTGATACAGCTTTTAATAATAACCCTTACCTCAAATACAATAAATTATTGTATTTGAGCTTTGAGCTTACTGTTAAACCAGTTGTTTTTTGTGGGCAACTTTGTAATACTGTGGCACATCATCATAATCTATCCTATCGGTGCCTAGGTGGCACATAGAGTTTCAGGGAGTCTATGCTACTCACTCCAATGGACAGCCACTTGGAGGGCCTCATGCCAACTCTTCTATTCCAGCTCCTTTCTCCTTTCCTTTTCAGCCATTCTACATGTACTCCAAGATTCTTTGGACTTCCAACACTTCTCCTTCCCATTGGAAGCCACATTTATGCTTTTCTAGGATTGTGACTAAACTGCATCATTGCCATACTGAAAATAGTGCTTCAAAATCAATAATTTGCTAAGCACAGGCCTTATACAAAGTCTGGAGTGTGGAGTCTGGCGGAAAAGTATAAAATTCTATAAACTACTTTTTCAGACCTTGGCAAATTATGGAAAACAGAGATAAGTCTAGAAAAGTAAAGTCTACATATTTTTTCCAAGCTATAAAAAGTGCTTAACAAATTATTACCAAAGTAAAAATCCTTGTCAGCTTGCTGACTTCTAATAAAGTAGCCTTGAACTTGTTTTACAGGTAAAAAGACTGCAAATAAAAATATCGAAGTTACAATGCACGTTCTCTCAGATGATGGAACAATTCTTCAGGTATTTGTTGGTTGGCTGTCTACTTCCCTACAGACAGGTCTGTAAAGTCAAAGTTTTGGAAGAAATTAAGATACATTGAATCTGATGGCTGACTGACTCATCCTCGATAAACTTTTCACATTGAATGTCTCGTGTGAGTGTAGTCAGAATTTGGGCTCTACTCAGTCTTAACATTTCCCAAGTTCATTGCATGGGGAAGGTCAGTGGGTCTTTGATTCAGTATGTGTAAGCATTTCTGACCACTGATGATGTCAAGGTATGTGTATTACAAACAAGAAAAAGCCAAAACGAAAATAGTGATTGGAAAAATATATATAAAATTCTCAAATTTTGTGTGCAAAAATGTGTACAAACACTTGCACTATACTAATGTTTTAACTCCTTAATAAAATATCCTTGCTTTACAGAATGTGATCTCCATTGGTGCAGGGGAGGAACTGGTCAGTGAATACCGTTCAGTTATTTTCTACCATGTTGGCAAACCTGAATGGGTGGAGACAATCAAGGTAAATCATTAGGAAGTGCCAAGGATTCATCGAGCTAGTAGTGGCACATGATGAAAAATCAAAATTCTTCATACTTCATCCAGAGATATGGTAGTCCTAGAAACATGGTGGGATTTTTCCTTGAAATATCTTTCAAGCACACCAATCACAGATTCATTAGAGCCCATTTTATAGCTGGAATTTTTAAGCTCAACGCCTGTCAATGGCTCTAGTTTTGACAGTTTTCCTTTCTTTTGCAGTTAGTCATCCCAATAGAGCAGTTCCAAACCTCACACGTCAGGATTATGTTCAAGCACAGATCTGCAAATGATGGTAACAATTCATAAAATCCCATGAGGGGGTAAAGAGGTTAAAGCTAACTCTGCACGTGACTCATGTGGCCCATCAGTCCGGCCCTAATCTGCTTTTTTCGTAGCATAACATTAAGGTGACTGGGAATATTCCTACTCTGCCCGTTATAGGTATGCAATGCATGCAGAGGGCCATGTAGCTGAAGTCCTTTGCATGCATTGCAGGCCTATGGTACAAGGTGATAGTGTTGCAGGTACGCAATGCATGCAGAGGGCTATGTAGCTGAAGTCCTTTGAATAAAATTAATTGTGGGTCTGTGATACCTGGCTAGAGCATCATAGGTATGCAATATGTACAGAAAGCTACAGTATGTAGCTGGAACAATATTATTGTCAGGACAGTAATGTGTTAATAACATGTTAATACATTAGAATATATTTGCATTCCTTCTTAATAGAAAGAGACAGAGTTCAAAAGTGCTTTGCCTTTTCACACTCACGACTCATGTACAATGATGGAACTACACTACAGGATGGAATACATGAGCTTTTGGTCTACAAGGTAAATGCGTACGTGTTCGTTACATAAATAACTAGAACTAAATACCGATGATTTGATTTGTTGCTCTCCATCCTATTGAAGAAATAGAAAACATTTCCTATGCTTCTATCAAGTTACAGAAACATAAGTGGAAGTTTGAGGGAATGCAGAATGCTGTGGGAGGTCGAGCTGCTGGCAAATGTTTCCACAGCTTTTGGAGTTCTCCAAACTTCCATGAGTGTTTCTACTTGACAATTAGATTAAATGCCAAATTAGAGCTGTTACCATTGACTGTTGCTAAAAAAAGACTATTGTAATCACTGACTGTCCAATGAACCAAAACTTGAAGTAAATACCATGCAGCTAGCTGACACTAAGCACGAGAAAACTCGTGTGACTGAGTCACAGTTGCTTTTGGTTGGATGAAAAAGTGATACGAGTCTTTTTTAAGCTAATTCTGTGGCGTAGTAAAGCAAAACCAATTACTTTTTGGTATTCGAGTGAACAGGTATTTTTCCTACAGTCAGCGCTCCTTTTCCGGTGTGCACTCTGCCTCCCTCAGATTGTGATGAGTTCCTTTCAAGAGACGATTCTCTTGGTTTCCTCACCGTAACAAGAACTTTGTTTATTTATTTTCCGCAGAATGATCATGGGAGGATCCCACATCCCAAGGCTTACCTTCATCTTGCATCCAAGAAAGATGACGTTCTTCCTGCCAAGTCAAGCAATGTTCCATTCACAGCAACAAATGACAAACTCAAGATTGAAACCCTTCTCTGCTCGACCAAACTGACACAAAACGGTATGTGTATCTTAAATCGGTCTTGTAAGCTAATAAGTGCTTCACCAGTTATGATACGTTTACGTTTTTGATCTGAATTTTGTGGTTTAGCAACATTCCATAAAGTCGTCCCCGACCCCACTCCCAAAACAGGTTCCCTAGATCTTTGACGCAACAATTCTTCCATTAATTAGTTTTCCCAAATACAAGCCCGCCTATAGATTTATTTATGTAGTTTAGCTCTTTTAAAAAAAGAACAAGAACAGACCACTGACGTAACTCTTACTTGCTGCGTTGTTGCATCATGAAACGTTCAGTCTTTCGCAACACGTATCCGGCCCAACCCATCTATCGGGTCATACCTTGGATCTAATTATTACTCGTTCGTCGGATGATGTTGTTCTTGCTTCTCCTAAAGCCACTTTTCCCATCTCTGATCATTTTATTATTCAGTGCCCTATTGGTTTCCCGCGACCAGCTTTATCTTGCAAAGAACTGACTTTTCGTAAACTCAAAAATATTGATATTGCCGAATTCTCAGCTGATATTGCCTCTTCTATGCTTTGTGCAAGCGTACACTGGG